CTGGGCGTGGTGGTACGTGCCTGTAATCGCAGCTACTCAGGAGGCGGAGGTGGGAGGACGGCTTGAGCCTGGGAGGCGGAGATTGCAGTGAGCCGAGATTGTGCCACTGCACTCCAGCCTGGGTGACAGAGCTAGACCCTATTTCAATAATAATAACAAAACTGGGCGAGGTGGCTCACACTTGTAATCTCAGCGCTTTCGGAGGCCAAGGCAGGCAGATCACCTGAGGTCAAGAGTTTGAGACCAGCCTGGCCAACATGGTGAAACCCTTTCTGTACTAAAAATACAAAAGTTAGCCAGCCATGATGGCTTGTGTCTATAGTCCCAGCTGCTTGGGAAGCTAAGCCAGGAGAATCACTTGAACCCAGGAGGCGGAAGTTGCAGTGAGCTGAGATCGCGCCACTGCACTCCAGGCTGGATGACAGAGGGAGACTCTGTCTCAAATAATAATAATAATAATTAATAATAACGATGATGGCCCCTTGCCCAGGGCCAGGAGGTGCAGATGCCTTATCAGCTACAACCCGAGTGATCAGAGTTGTTGAGGTTGAGCATAGTGGGTCACTGAAGCCGAAAGCTTCCCGCCCAGGCCCCTCTTCTCCACTAGTCCCCGCTTTTGGGGCCAGGTTGGAAAGGGGACGGTAACCCCCCAGTCTTCTGGAGTCTGAATACAGCGGCGACCTGGGCTGGTGGTGGTCAGATGGACGGGACAGGGCTGTGTCGTGCTGTCCTTGGGAAGTGACTCACAGGGTACAGGGAAGGCCCTGATGGGGCCTTCTGGGCCTGGGGTGTGAGGAGCTGTTGAGGGGACAGGGGTCCCTGTGTCCAGTCTACAAGGCTTCCTGGGGAAGGTGGGAGGTTATTCCAACCCGAAATGAGGAGCACAGGCTCGGAGCTCCAAGGCCGAGCGGAGAAAGGCGGGGGGTCTGGGGACCCAGAGCAGGGACCCGCAAAAGGATTTTGCTGCCTGGAGTCCTCCCTCCCTGCTCTGGGGACCTGGCGAAGGCTTCTCCTGGAGCTTCCTGGGAAGAGCTTTGGGGTTGCGGGCAGGGGAACGAGAGGAAGTATTTACACCCATGGCCCCGTTGAATCCTCAAGCCTGTGCTGTGATGTGATTTTATCATCCTCACTTTATGGATGGGGAAACTGAGGCTCAGGGAAGTTTAATAACTTGTCTGCCGTGACAAGTGACAAGTGCCTGCCTACTGTTCACTGAGCTGTGTCCCTCTCTGCCCTGGCGAGGGTGAGGGCTCTGCTTTTTTTTTTTTTTTGAGACAGGGTCTTGTTCCGTCACTCAGGATGGAGTGCGGTGGTGCAAAGCTCACTGCAGCCTCAAACTCTTGGACTCAAGCGATCCTCCTGCTTCAGCCTCCCAAGAGGCTGGGACTACAGGCTCATGCCACCGTGCCTGAACTTCCCCTGGGTGACCTGGTGGTGAGCATGGCCAGATATGGTTCCTGCCCTCCAGCCGCTCCAGCTTACAGGATAGAGAGACCACAGGCCAGTGGTGGCAGACATTGGTGTCTCCCTACAGACTCTGCCATGTGCCAGGGTACTCTCAGGGGCTGGCCTGATGGGGAGGCTGCCCTGAGGAATGGGGTGAGGGCAGAACTCAGGCAATGGCCTGGCATTGGCCCTATTGATGTGGGGCCGGAGCACTGTGCCAGGCAGAGACCCGTGGCCTGAGAGACGAGAAACTGTGAGCAAAGGCTGGGCGCGGTGGCTCACACCTGTAATCCCAACACTTTGAGAGGCCAAGGCGGTTGGATCACCTGAAGTCAGGAGTTCGAGACCAGCCTCACCAATAGGGTAAAACCCTGTCTCTACTAAAAATACAAAAATTACCTGGGCATGCTGGCGCACGCCTGTAGTCCCAGCTACTCAGCAGGCTGAGTCAGGAGAATCACTTGAACCCAGGAGACAGTCGCAGTGAGCCAAGATCTCGCCACTGCCTTCCCCCTGAGTGACAGTGAGACTCCGTCTCAAAAAAAAAAAAAAAAAGCAAAAACCCAGAAACTCGACAGAGCAGGGAGGCTGGCTGAGTGGGCAGTGGGGGAAGCCAGGGAAAGATCACACCCCAGAGGCTGACCTGGGTGACCCCACGGGGCCAGGGACCTGGGATGGAGCCGGGGCTTTGCTCTAAGAGCTGAGGTAGCTGTGGAAGCTGCGTGACAGATTCATGGGCTAAGGAAATCACATCTGCTGCTTGGTGGAGATGAGATTGGAGGGGGCAAGAGGGGACCAGGCACAGTGGCTCATGCCTGTAATCCCAGCACTTTGGGAGGCTGAGGCGGGTGGATCACGAGGTCAAGAGATGGAGACTATCCTGGCCAACATGGTGAAACCCCTTCTGTACTAAAAATACAAAAAAAAAAAAATTAGGTGGGCGTGGTGGCGCACACCTGTAGTCCCAGCTACTCGGGAGGATGAGGCAGGAGAATTGTTTGAACCCGAGAGGCAGAGGTTTCAGTGAGCCGAGATCAGATCGTGCCACTGCACTCCAGCCTGGCGACAGTGAGGCTCCGTCTTAAAAAAGAGAGAGAGAGAGAGAGAGAACTGGTGGGTGTGAGAATGTGTCATAGTCTGCAGGGAGCTATGGCTGTGCACAGTCTGGCTGATGTCGTGGGAGTGTCCTGGGCATGGGCCTGTGACTCTGTTGGGGTGGGAAGTGGAGGTTCTGGCGGTTACTGACCAGCCCAAATTGGTCCCTGGATTGGGGAGCAGCTGGTTTGACCCGTTTGATTCTGCCCAGGATGCCCGCTGCACCGGCTCTCCCTGCAGGAAGTGGGAACTTCTGACCATCTCAGTATGGTGTGCAAGACATGGGCACGAGGTGGGCACTGCCACTGCTCTACAAGTGTGTGCCAGGCCCTGGCCTGTCTGCAGGGTCAGCAGCAGCATGGGGGCTGGGCCGCCTTGACCTTGACTTCTCAACCTTTAGGTAGGTTGCATCGTATGGTTGAAACACTGCTTTCTGGGAGGCATAGCTCACACTGGGCACTGTGCCCAGCACTTTTTTTTATTTTTTATTTTTTTTATTTTGAGATGGAGTTTCGCTCTGTCACCGAGGCTGGAGTGCAATGGTGAAATCTTGGCTCACTGCATCCTCCGCCTCCTGGGTTCAGGCAGTTCTCCTGCCTCAGCCTCCCGAGTAGCTAGGATTACAAGCATGTGCCACCATGCCTGGGTAATTTTTGTATTTTTAGTAGAGACGGGGTTTCACCATGTTGGTCAGGCTGGTCTTGAACTCCTGACCTGAGGTGATCCACCCACTTCAGCCTCCCAAAGTGCTGGGATTACAGGCGTGAGCCACCATGCCTGCCCCTTACTGGTATTTTTGCCGTCAGCTGACTTACAGCCTATAAAGGATGAAG